TTTTAAGCTATATAAGAGACTTTACTATATAGATATATAATTTTTTTAATAAAATAAGTAGATTCTATCTTAGAGAAGAAGTAGATAGTATAATATTAAATATATACTCTTATATAACTTTTTATTACTATATTTAAGTAAATAACTTCAATATAAAGAATATTATAATAGAAATAAGAAAAATATAAAATAAAAAAGAATTATTTTAAAAACTAGTTTCTAGAAAAACTAAAATAAAAAATTTAGAAATAGTTTAACTAAAGAAACTAAAAACTAACTTTCGAAAGAACCGGAACAAAAAACTTAAAAATAAAGTTTACTAATAAACTTAAAATCAGCTCTCAAAAATTAAAAATAAGTTTTAGTTTTAAAAATAAGTTTTCGAGAACTTAAAACCTATTTCTAATAAAACTAGGAAACTAAAAACTAGGAAATAATAATTATAGAATTCCGGGGCATTCGAGAAGTAACTAAGTTACTTTTTAACTTTTTATAAGAAGAAATTAATTATATATAAGCCCTTTTCCTCCTCTTTCCTTTCAGCTTTAGAAATAAAAGAATAAGGAACTTTAAGAACTTCCTTACACACGATTCTAATATAATAATTATTTCTATATAATTATTTCTACTTTTAACTTCTTTATTTTTTTAAAAAATCTTAATAGTTTAATAATTATTATTTTTTTACTTCCTAGAACTCCTTATAACCTTAATAATCTTTCTTTTTTATATTAGTTAATAGTAAAATTTTATACTTTTTAGTAAATTATTACTAATTTTTTATTTACTTAGTAATTCTTTTTTAATTATATTTAAACTAGCTTTTATTAATTAATATTATATGCTACTTATTATAATTCCTATATACTTTTATATCTTTATTTTTAAACTAGTAGATTAAGTTTTTTTTTAGCTTCTAATTCTATAAAACCTTTAATAATTTCTTAAACTATTATTTTTATAGCTAGAGAGGCTCTTTAGGTAGTTTTTTTAAAAAATATAATCTTCTATTTATTATCTCCTTTTAAAAAAAATATTATTTTTATAGTATTTTATAAATAATATAATATTTATCTTATTAAAAGAAAAAAACTTTTCTTTATCTTTAGTAGCTTATATAATAAAAAATATAAATATATTAAAAGATATTTTATAATTAGAACTATTATAGAGCTCTATTAAATTAAAAGTACTTCTTTTAGTTATTATTAAAATAAGATCTTTAGAAATTATATTTAAGTTTAAAATTAAAATAAAAAGTAATATTAACTATAATATTAAACTTTAGATTTTAGAAAAATAAATATTATATTAATATATTAATAATAAGTAAATTATTAAAGATAAAAATAATTCTTATTTATAATATTTAAAGCTATCTATAAAAGCTTTTTTTATTATATTAAAATAGTTATTTAAAAAGCTTTTTCTAATAATAAAATTCCTTTTTAATTATTATATTTTTAATTACTAATTATTATAAAAATAATAGTTATAATATATTTAAAAGCTTTTATTATTAGTAATTATTTAACTATAAAGCTATTTTTAATAAAAGTAACTAAATAAAGATTTTAATTATAATTTTTTATATATTATTAGATAATTTTTATTAATTAATTAATTTAAATATAAGTTTTTTAATTTAAGTAAGATTAAACTTTACTTTTTTTAAATAAGTTAAAAAAAAATTTTAGTTTATTTAGATTTTATTATATAAGTTATATTTAAGCTTCTTAGTATTTAGACTAAATAATTCTTTACTAAACTTTACTATTTTTAGAAATAATTAATTAATAGATTTTTTTTTAGTTAATATATTTACTATATTCTTTAAATATTAATATACTAAATTACTTTTATAATTTATTATATTTTAATATTTTAATAACTAGCTTAAATAGCTTATTTACTATAATAATAGTAGTAACTTATAAATAAAACTTACTAAGCTCTTTAAGTAGATCCTAGTTAGACTTTTAGATAAAATAAAATAATATAGTTTATTTATATATTATAAAAATAAAGTAAAAAAATAGTTAATTAAATAAGTCTAAAAATAGTTTTAGTTAGAGGCTATTATAATTTTACTTATAAGTATAGAAATAAAATATTAGAATAGTTAATTAATAGAAATAAAGCTATATTATAACTAAAAAAGGCTTTTAAATAAGAAGAATTTAAAAATTATATAAGTATTAAATAGGAGATATTTAAGTATAAAAAATAATAGAAGAACTATTAGAAGTTATTATATAAGATAATCTATAAGAAATAATAATAATAAAGTTAATTTAAAGAAGAACTAATAACTATTATCTTTAAAGAAGTTTAAAAACTTCTTTATTTTAAATTTAGTTTTTTTTTTAAGAGAGAAAGGGAAAAAAAAAGAAATAACTATAGTTATAGCTTATAGTAAGAAATAATATTCTTCTATTCTTATTTTTATAGACTTATAAGAATATTACTACTTCCTCTACTATTATTTTTTTTTATAATATATTTTAAATAAATATATAAATTATATTAATATTACTTTTATAAGTAATATAATTTTAAAAAACTTAAGTATTATAGTAAAAAATATATTTTAATATTTTAAAAAGATATTATTAAATAAAATTATTATTAATTATTTAAGTTAAGTAATTATAATTAATTTTAAAAGTAATTATATTAAAAGAATAAGATTTAAAAATATAGTTAAATATAATTAATAAAAAATAAAAATAATTTATAAAAGAAAAAAAAGAAAAATAGAAATATTAAAACTAATAAATTTTTAAAAATAAAAATTAAAAGAGAAAAAAATTATATTATAATATAATTATAATTAAATTATAAAAAAGTAGTATAATATAATAAAAAAATTATATAAATGATTAGTTAAGAAGGTTAGATAGAACTAAGTTTAACTAATTAATTAAATAATAATTTAATAAGATAATTATATAATTAATTAATTAATTAATTAATTAATTATAGGATTGATTAACTAAAGAAAAGCTTAGAAAGAAAATATTTATACAAGTTATAAATTCTTCTATATATCTAGTTTATATTTTAAAAGTTTTTAGTAGTTAATTTAAAAATAACTATACTTCTATATTTAAATATATACGTCTTACTATAGATTATATTTACTATTTAATTACCTTACTTACTTTATAATAAGTACTTACGACCGTATTATAATTTTTAACTTAAAATTTATAGTAATACTAATATTAGTAAGTATTAATATTACTTTTTTAGTTATTAAATTATAACTAAGTTATTATATAAGTAATTTTAATTAAATAATTTATTATTTAAGTTTTTTAATTTTTTTTAATATTAAAATTTAAAAATTTTTTTTTTCTATTTTAGTTTATTATTTATTAAAACTTTTTTTATAAATAGTTATAATATAATTATACTTATTATTAGACTTATATTCTACTTTTATAGCTAAAGTAGTTACTTTTTATAATTTAACTTTATTATTTTTTTTTTTAAATATTAATTTTTTTTAAATATTAATTTTTTTTAATATTATAATTTTTAATTATTAATAATTATTATTTAATAAAATTACTTATTAAATAAGAATAATTAATATTTTATAATTTTAATACTAAAGCTTAATATATTAAATAAATATAATTAATAATAAAATTATAAATACTTATTATAAAATAAATAAAATAATTAAATAATATTTAAAATATATAATAAAAAAAGATATAACTATATTTAAATTAATTACTAAAGAGTCTTAAAAGATAAACTAGATATATAGAGAAATCTATAGCTTATATAGACATTTCCCTTCTAAGCTCTTCCGAGGACTATTGCCTTGGTTCTATCAGTCCGTCCTTACCTTGACTAATAGTATTATTTGGTCGGTCCTTGTGTGGACTGCTCAGGACCGCCATTCAGTCCTAGTCGGTCTACGCCTTACTAGTTCGTGTTCTCGCATAGTTTATCCTTTTCTGCCGGGGCCCGCCGCCTTAGACCTTTAAAGCGGTTAGCTTGTAACAAGCTTACTGCTGTAACTATGTGTGATCCTCAATTTCCTTGATCCTTCTGTGGTTCTGTAGTTTATCCTTTTCTGCTGCGCTTGACCGCTTGGCCCTGTTCTTGGCCACATGTGGTCGTGACAAGTAGGTTGTAGGGCTTTATGACTGGCACGAACCCGATGCACTCCCCTGCTCTACCTAGAGCATCTAAGTATGTATCCAGCTTGGTTTCGGTGCGGGCCAAATTTGCCTTCAGCATTTTTTTTTTATCGATTTCGAGAATCTTAACCTTCCATTGAGTGCCTTCTTTTTGCTTCTCGGGTGAGTCGAATTTACGCTAGAGCCGTTGTTTCTCCTCGTTCGCCACTCCTACATCCGTTTTCCGGGGGTTGGTAATTCCTTTTATTTGTGCGAGCCTTAGCTCTTCCAACCGTGTGTACTAACTGCTCTAATCACCCGGATTTTGATACCGAAAATGAGTTAGCGGAGCATTCAATGTAATGCCATAGTCGCCGCATCCCCTGTGACCGGATTTTCAACAGCGCGTCCCCTGGGGTGTTATGATTTGCTGGCGTCCATCAAGGTCAGTCGTCCGTCATACAAGTGGGAAGCCTCATGGCTGAGTGCAAGGGGTTACCTCGCATCATGTTTCCCCAACTGTACTATTGCTTGGTGCAGTGGTAAGGGGAAGAGCGCCGGGGGGGAAAAAGGGGGGGCTACGGGAAGCTAGAAGAGCGAAGAGGCGGAGAGAGAGGAGCTTCATAGGGTGAACACCCACTGCAGTTGAGATATAGAGATAAGTGATAGTGGCATCAGGGGAGATGATTCATATCATGGACACCGCTATTCCCCGAGTCGGCGATCTTAATACATGAAACGAGCTTCTTGCGTTCCCATGAAATTCGCGCACAAATATTCCAACCACAATCGTGGTTCGTAAGAGTTGCCACTGGAGTCACCGGCCCATTAGATGAAACTAGCCAAAATTCATGAACGACACTATACGCCCGCCAACACCACATTGTCCTTTCTCGCTTCGCGGAGTATTCTCTTCATTGAGAAATACAATTCTGGATCCTGCTTCTTCCATCTTCTACCATCAGGGAATATCTTCCTACGCAGTCTATCAACCCATGGGATTAATGGCTTGTAGTAGGAAGTAAAGCTCCCTTCCATTATCTTGAGAAAGGTACTCTCCTCGCCTATCGTACTGAGCTTCGATCTCACTACGCTGCTATCATCCTCAAAATTCCAACTGTCAAACACAGTCGGCCCTGTGTATTGGCCGGGCGCGTCGTAGTGGATGCATATCCAGAAAAGTACCCAGAAGAATGACTCGAGGTCATGCATAAAACAACGAGGCTCTCCAAGCAGGATCCCGATTGCCCTGAAAGCCTTCATCGCCTTGCTTCCGGTAGGTGACGCCTCTCCCCGCGATTCTTTGGTCGCAAGGTCAGTGTCAATCAAAAACGAGGGCCAAGAGGGGTTCTCCTTGTCCTCATTTACCATCAGATTATATATTGATATGTCTCCATGAAGGAAACCTGCCTTCCGCAAGGACTCGTGCCCCACGATGCAGCCCTCTAATGCCGCGAGCAGAGCGGCTCGTGAGCTTGCTTCGTAGATCGGCTTCCCATAATCACGAAGAATAACACGACGATGTACCCGATTAGGTAAGGCGTTGCTGCTTGACTGGTGCGGATATACAGAGCAGCTCCGCGTGCTGAGCGGCAGAGGGGTGTCAGTCTGACTACCGTAGCTGTTCCGTAGGTTTCCTGGCTTGCTGGTACTCGGCGGTTCCAATCGGTAGTTTGTGGTCGCCGCAGCATCTAGTCCCGCTCGAATATTATACCAAATATCGTCGGTTCTCCCGCCTACCCGAACGGTGTCATGGTAGTAATACCGGGCAACGTTAGTCACACCTCTGTCAGTAACCTCACGGAGCAGCTTTCCTTCTTCCTCACGCCCTATGAGCTGCCAAGAGTCCTTAATAACGAGTGGAGTCTTCCGCGAGTCTTCCTTGCGATGAGCTTTCCAACACGTTGTTGCGCGGCCAGCTATGCAAGGTGTACGCAAGATTAGCTCATCGATGATAAGGACCTCTTTGATACCATTCCGTTCGATCTCGATAAATCGCTGGCTTCCTGCTCTGCCAATTGTAGGGTCAAACCCAAGCTTCTCCTCACTCATTCGAAGAAACCCGAGGATTGTACACAGAAATCGCAACCCATCTTTGTTAATGTTGAACTGTTCGGATGCCACAGCCCCCAGTCGATCAAATTCCCATATGCTCATGAGGGGTCCGCAGATAGTGAAGCCTAAAACGAAGCGACGTGTATCTTGGGCAGCAAGTACTTCTCTGGCATACCTCCCAAGGTCAAGCCAACTATTCGATAGCATGGCCGTAGCTGAGTTGCTTTCCAGCTCTCCAGGTACGAGGACCTGCTGTAATGGGCACCTAGCATCTTTTCCCGCTTCCGGATCGCTCACGAAGGCAACATCCATAGCACGCCCCGCCGTAAGGCCATTAACTGGCTTTTGGGGCCGTGCTACTGGCCTCCGACGCTGCGTCGAGTTCGGTTTGTATTCTTCTGCGAACGCAGCTAGGTTTTCGCTCAATTCCGCGAACCAGGTCAGGACATCTTCTTGGTTGGCATTCGCCGCCCATCCTCTCCATCCTTCAGAGTAGAGTGGGTTGCGGCCTTCCATGCACTTCTCAAAGACTGCCTGAGACACCAACTCTAGATCTGCTACATCCCCAAAGAAACACTCGTAGAAATCGGGAAGTGCAACATTCGTCAAGCGAAGGTCCTCCTTGAGCACGACGTCGATATACTTTTGATACTCGGACGAAGTCGCAAAACTGTTGGGGTTGCGAAGCCATGTAGCTTGTGGCAGGGAAGGTACTACCGTTTGTTGAACGGGGCCATCGACGCTACATACTTGATCCCAGATAAGCGCATCGTTGGGGGGATCGGCGAGAGCCGCGTTCAAGAGCGGCTTAATGCAGTCGAAGTCAAAGTCATCACAACTGACAGCAGAATTGAGTTTTAGGAGATAGCTGCGAAGTTTGCCAGGACCTGTCCCTGAAGTACCGTGGTAAATAGGAGGAACCTTTCGTAGGACGGATAAAAGATCGAGAGTAAGATTTTGGAGATCTATGAATTGGTCAAAGAAAAAAAAAAAAAAAAAAAAAAAAAAAAAAAGAAAGAAAGGAAAAAAAAAAAAAAAAATTCCCAAAGCATGGTGCAAGACTTACCTTGGCTGCCAAACTGATCAAGTGCATCTGGAGCACCGCTTGTGCTCCTGCCTCCGTAGATCGTGTTGAATGAGGCGCGGAAGGGATCCAGCACATTCTTAAGCGGGTTGCCTTTGATGACCTCCCACCAGGGCTGGTCTGCCAATAAGCCAATCTGGCAGGCGCCGGTCGTAACACTTCCATTCCGTGATCGCTCTTCATCCATGCCTGTGTATTGTGTAGAATTTCGCTGTTGGCCAAGAGCATCCAGCCTTTCGAAACAAAACAGATGCGGGAATTGTCTGGGTTATAGGTTGTAAATCAGCAATTAGTTACTTAGAAGATGACGATTCACTACCTAAGATTCGCCACCAGAAATTCGCTGCTAGGGAGCACCATCTGATAATATCCTGGCCTCTTCTATACTAGTTCTGGCGTAGTTCGGATCTTTTGAAAGTGGGAAATGAGTACGTATGGATTACTTTTGGCGTTAAGTTTTCCGTCATCGACACATCATACTGGGAGGCACTTGCGCAACTGGACTGTGTTTGCATTCGCCCTCTCTCTTCGCACCCACGTAGAAATACTACCAGAAAGCTCCTCTCATTTTATTTAGACAATGCTTCCCATAGACTCCTCACTCGGCAACTGAGCCGGCAGGTCCTATTCAGGAGGTCACTGACGCGGCAACTTACCCTTAGATGTTCGGCGCTTATACCGGGGTATTGGGGTACTTGGGCCAGTAGGACACGGCAGGCCAGATATCGAATCACTATTAAGAAGATCCCTCCGAAGGTCTAGTGGAAAAGAGGTAAGGGCAAAGTACTTCGATAAAATCTATAAATTAAAAGTCTTAAATAATATTAAAAATAACTATCTTTTTAGATAATATATATAACTAATTATTTTTAAAATAGAAAATATTTTTTTATTAAAATAAAAATTAAAAAAAAATTATAATAGTATTACTTATAAGTAATAAGGAAACTTAGTTAAAGATAAGCTTTTTTATATAATTATAAATTAAAAAGTACTTAAAGTCCTATTATAAAAGTAATAGATTTTAATTATAAAATTACTAGTAAGACTTTAGCTTAAAGAATAAACTTAAACTATTTTTAAGCTTTTTTTTTTTATTTCTTAAAAGCTTTACTACTTATTTAGCTATCTAAGACCTATACTCTAATTATATAATTACTCTACTTTCTATTTTTAATTAAGCTAGTTATTTTTATTACTTCTTCTTCTAAAGCTAATAATACTTTTAGTTTAGTTATAGTATATTTAAAGTTTTTACTAAACTTTTCTATAATACTCTTTATAGTATTCTTTAGTAGTTATAGAGTTTTGTCTTTAAATATATTCTTAGTCTTCTTTAGTAGTACTCTTTATATTTATTTACTTTTTTGTTTTTATTATTTTCTTTAATTTTATTTAATAAATAAAAGATAAAAATAAAAGTTATTTAGTAAGAATATTTATATAAAAGAAGTTATTAAAATATTATTTAATTATAAAAATTCTATTTTATTTTATTTATTAAAAGTATTATTAAAAGATAATATTTATAAATATAATATTTTCTTTTATTAAATTTTTATTATTAAGTAATAATATTTTATATAAAAAAAGAGATATCTATTATATAAAAAAGAACTACTAGCTAGTTTTTAACTAGTAAAACTAGCTAGATATATATAAAGTATACTAAGCTTTTCATCAGCTCCGAAAGATATAAATAATAATTTCTTTTATTAAGAAGTAATTTATAAGTATCTAGATTAGAAACTAATTTAATTATACTATTTTTCTTAGTTTATAGATTATTTATATAAATATTATTACTTCTATTTTTATTAAACTATATTATTTTTTATATTTAAAATCTTTTTTAATAAAAATATAATTAATCTTAGTTTTATAAATAATATATCTTTATTTAAAATATTTTTACTATTTTATTTTATTAACTTTAATTAGAATATATAGATTATATATATATTTTTACTTATATTAATTTTAAAAAATAATATTTATATTAAGTTATAATAATAGAGGAATATCTTCTTTATTAGAAAGTATTATAAGTTTTTAAATACTTCCTCTTTTCTTTTTATTAAGGTAATCTTTTACTTTAAAGCTCTAACTTTCTATAAACTTTTACTTTATAATCTTAATATAATTTCTCTAGTTTTATATACTTTTACTAATTTCTATATTTTCTTTTCTTATAATAATATTATAATAGTAAAAAAGAGGACATTAGTAAAAAGGGGGACGTTCTCAAGATTCCGCAAGATAGAGTAGAAAAATATTATTCCTTACCATAGGCCAGGACCATAGTTATTTCTTTTCTTTCCCTTCCTCCCTCAAGGAGGAAGAACAAGTTCTTTAATAAGTTTTTTAAGTTCTTCAAGGATGATAGTTATTAGTTCTTCTTTTAATTGACTTTATTATTATTATTTCTTATAGATTATTTTGTGTAGTGATTCTAAATAATTCTTCTATTATTTTATATATATAAGTGTCTTCTATTTGATATTCATATGATCTTTGGCTTCCCCCTATTTAGAAGCCTCCTTTGGTTATGATATAGCTCTATTCTTATTGATTAACTATTTTGATGTCCTATTTCTATTCTTACAAGTGGAATTGCAGTAGCTTCTTGTAGGAACTATTCTTAACTACTTGATTACTTATTCTTTATTTCTCTTTCCTTATTTCTTGTAGTATATAGGTAGGCTGCACTGCTCTATCTTATCTAGAGGTCTAACTAGGATCTACTTAGGGGGCTCTGTGAGCTTTATCTATAGGTTGTTATTGTTACTATAGTAAATAAGTTGCTTAGGCTGGAACTAGAAAATTGAAGTATGATAAGTTGTAGAAATGACTTAGTATAATAAAGTAAATATATTAGCTAAAAGGAAATCTATTAATTAACTGTTTTTGAAGATAATGAGGTTTGGTGAGGACTTATCTGATCTAAGTATTAAGGAGCTTGGATATAATAAGATCTAGTTAGGTTAGAGTTTTCTTTTAACTTACCTAGAAAAATTAGAGTCTAATTTTACTTAATTTAGAGAGCTTATATCTAGATTAATTAATTAATAAGAATTATCTAATAAGGTATAGGGAATTATAATTAAGATTTTTATCTAGCTATTCTTATTAGAGATAGCTTTAATAGTTAGGTAGTTACTAGTAATAAAGGCCCTTAGATATATTATAATTATTATTTCTATAGTTTTAGTAATTAGAAATAAAATAAATAGGAGAGGATTTTACTATTATAAAGGCCTCTTTTATAATTATTTTAATATAATAAGAAAAGCTTTTACTAATAGCTTTAAATATTATAAATAATAACTATTTTTACTTTTATTAATTTACTTATTATTAATATATTAATATAATATCTATTTTTTAAGACCTAAAGCTTAATATTATAATTAATATTACTTTTTATTTTAATTTTAAATTTAAATATAGTTTTTAAAGATCTTATTTTAATAATAACTAAGGGAGGTAGCTTTAATTTAATAGGGCTTTATAGTAGTTCTAGTTATAAAATATCTCCTAATATATTTATATTTTTTATTATATAGGCTACTAGAGATAAGAAGAAGTTTTCTTTCTTCAATAGGATAAATATTATATTATTTATAGAGTGCTGTGAGGAGAATATCTTCTTTTTAAAAGAAAATAATAAGTAGAAGGCTATATTCTTTAGAGAAGCTATCTAAGGAGCTTCTCTAGCTATAAAAGTAGTAGTCTAAGAAGTTATTAAGAATTTTATATAATTAAAAACTAAAAAAGATCTAATCTACTAGTTTAAAGATAAGGATATAAAAATATATAAAAACTATAATAAGTAGTATATAATATTAATTAATAAGAACTAGTTTAAGTATAGCTAAAAGGAAGTTATTAAGTAAATAAGAAACTAATAATAGTTTATTAAAAAGTATAAGATTTTACTATTAATTAATATAAAAAAGAGAGATCTCCTAAAGGCTATAAATAATATTTTTTACTTAGAATTTATAATAGACTATATTATATCCTATAGAAAGCTTAAAAATAAGATTTTAGAGGAATTAATTAATTATATATAAGATATTTTTAAAAATAAGCTTAGAAAAGAAAGTATATAGTAGGATAATATTAGCTATTAATAAAAAAAACTTTTTAAGCTAAGAATTAGCTTTAAAAAAGAAAAATAAATAAGCAACTATAAAATTAAGATCTTCTAATAACTAAAAATAGTTAATTAACTATTTTATACTAAAAAAGATATAATAAGTACTTAAATTAATAAATTAATAAAGAAGATATATAAATTATAGATCTAATTTATATATATAGAAAAGTAGGAAAAAGATCTTTAGATAAATAAAAAAAATAGATAAGGCTTTTATTAAAATATAAGACTTTTAGAAAAAGTAATAAAGCTAAAGTATTTATATTATTAACTAAAAAAAGTAACTTCTTATATTACTATTACTAAAGAAAGTATAATTAAAATAAATATATAATTTATATATATAAGAATAATAGGATTTATAATTATAATTCCTATATTTATATTTTAACTTTAGAGATAGAAATTAAATATAGGAAGTATTAATTATTTATTTTTAAGAAAATCTTTATAAATATTTAATATAATAGACTTTTATATATAGAATTTATTATAGTAGTTTTATTTAAGTAAGATATTTTAAAGAGGGATAGCTATTAATTAAATAAATATAAGTATATATTTTCTAATATTAGTAAGAAGATATAATTAGAAATAAATAACTTCTATAATACTCTTAGAAACTTAACTTATAATAAGTTAGTAATTAAGTTTTATTTTTATAATATAAAAATAGATATAAAGTAAAGTAAGTTTTTTAAGTTTAAGGAAACTAAGTAGGAAGTAAAAAAAGTAAAAGTAAAAGTAAAGAAGAAAAGAAAAGTAGTTAAAGAGAGTAAGGAGAAGAAAAAAAAGGAGTTAATATATTTCTAGTCTTAATAGGAAAGAAAAGTAAGTTAGTAGATATAACTATAAATTATAGTTTAATATCAAGGACTCTTTTACTAAAGAGGAGTAGAGGGTTATAGATATCTTTACTAGTATAAGTAGCTTTAAAAGGAAGTAGACTTTAGTTAATTAATTAAATTCTAATTTAAATAAGAATAAAGAAAAGCTAGGGGACTTTAAATTAAATAATTTCTTTAAGGGCTTTAATAAAATACTTTTTTAGAAGATATCTTTTATAAGGTCTTTAGTATTAATAGAAAAAGCTATTATAAATAAGATTTTTAATTTTAAAATTAATTTAATAGTAATAGAAATATTATAATTATATTTTTAAATAATAATAAAACTAAAAAAGTAAGAGATTAATATT